GCGCGTTTTCTCCGTCCATGTCGTCGACGTCCGAGCGTGATCGGGTTGGTCCCGAATCACTTCTATAATACCATGTTACATTACTATGCAATATTGGGAATATTTTCTTTATTCTGCCCATCTCACAAAACGGATGCCATCATATATACAGATACAGATGCACGCTCGAGTACTGCTATACAAGGTACTTTCCATGCGTGTCTTTTGGAGAAAGAAAGGAAAGGAAATAAATGATTATATCATTCCTAATCTAAAGCAGCTACTTCGTGCAAGACAAAAAATGTTACACCAAAAAATATTATGTACACAAAAATAAATTAATGTGGCTAACAAATAATTTTGTGAGTGATTTCTTTGAATATTTGTCCACCATTACAAACATGGTTGGATCTTCTTGTAAACGAAAATTAAAGATGAATTTTGCCAAAAACAACATGAAAACATGGTAGCCATGTTAGAAAAAGGTGAAATTACGACCAAGAGAAAGTACTTTAGCATGACCGGGAGCTACTCGATGGGGTTCACATTTTACAAACATTATTCGTATTCTTTCTATCTTTGTGGTCTCCAACAATCCAAGTGCTTGACAACATAGTTGATGATGGAATTGATTTGAAATCAACTGGGAAAGCTATTAGCTTCGTTGGAAAAATGGAGAGTTATCAATTTTTTTATTGCCCACTTGATGAAGAAGGTATTGGGATTCACGAATATGTTGTCACATTTCTTGCAACAAAAAGATCAGAACATTCTTGAGGCTGTGTGCTTGATTAAAAGCACTAAAGAGAAGTTCCAAGATTTGAGAGAAAGTGAATGAGAAGAGCTATTAGAAGATGTCAATAACTTTTGTGTGAAGAATAAAGTTGACATTCTAAATATGGAATATACAACACATCATTCTAGATGCGTTCGCCATCGGTAACAATTATCATCACTTTCAAGCTGATATATTTTATCAGGTATTTTTTATTAAAATGAAAATTACAATTGTAATTATTACAAATTTATAATAATACACGTTATTATTATTATTAATATTATTATTATTATTATTATTATTATTATTATTATTATTATTATTATTATTATTATTATTATTATTATTATTATTATTATTATTATTATTATTATTATTATTATTATTATTATTATTATTATTATTATTATTATTATTATTATTATTATTATTATTATTATTATTATTATTATTATTATTATTATTATTATTATTATTATTATTATTATTATTATTATTATTATTATTATTATTATTATTATTATTATTATTATTATTATTATTATTATTATTATTATTATTATTATTATTATTATTATTATTATTATTTATTATTATTATTATTATTATTATTATTATTATTATTATTATTATTATTATTATTATTATTATTATTATTATTATTATTATTATTATTATTATTATTATTATTATTATTTATTATTATTATTATTATTATTATTATTATTATTATTATTATTATTATTATTATTATTATTATTATTATTATTATTATTATTATTATATTATTATTATTATTATTATTATTATTATTATTATTATTATTATTATTATTATTATTATTATTATTATTATTATTATTATTATTATTATTATTATTATTATTATTATTATTATTATTATTATTATTATTATTATTATTATTATTATTATTATTATTATTATTATTATTATTATTATTATTATTATTATTATTATTATTATTATTATTATTATTATTATTATTTATTATTATTATTATTATTATTATTATTATTATTATTATTATTTATTATTATTATTATTATTATTATTATTATTATTATTATTATTATTATTATTATTATTATTATTATTATTATTATTATTATTATTATTATTATTATTATTATTATTATTATTATTATTATTATTATTATTATTATTATTATTATTATTATTATTATTATTATTATTATTATTATTATTATTATTATTATTATTATTATTATTATTATTATTATTATTATTATTATTATTATTATTATTATTATTATTATTATTATTATTACTATTATTACTATTATTACTATTATTTACTATTATTACTATTATTATTATTATTATTATTATTATTATTATTATTATTATTATTATTATTATTATTATTATTATTATTATTATTATTATTATTATTATTATTATTATTATTATTATTATTATTATTATTATTATTATTATTATTATTATTATTATTATTATTATTATTATTATTATTATTATTATTATTATTATTATTATTATTATTATTATTATTATTATTATTATTATTATTATTATTATTATTATTATTATTATTATTATTATTATTATTATTATTATTATTATTATTATTATTATTATTATTATTATTATTATTATTATTTATTATTATTATTATTATTATTATTATTATTATTATTATTATTATTATTATTATTATATTATTATTATTATTATTATTATTATTATTATTATTATTATTATTATTATTATTATTATTATTATTATTATTATTATTATTATTATTATTATTATTATTATTATTATTATTATTATTATTATTATTATTATTATTATTATTATTATTATTATTATTATTATTATTATTATTATTATTATTATTATTATTATTATTATTATTATTATTATTATTATTATTATTATTATTATTATTATTATTATTATTATTATTATTATTATTATTATTATTATTATTATTATTATTATTATTATTATTATTATTATTATTATTATTATTATTATTATTATTATTATTATTATTATTATTATTATTATTATTATTATTATTATTATTATTATTATTATTATTATTATTATTATTATTATTATTATTATTATTACTACTACTACTATTACTACTACTATTACTACTACTATTACTACTACTATTACTACTACTATTACTACTACTATTACTATTACTATTATTATTATTATTATTATTATTATTATTTCTTTATGTTTACCTTATTGTAGGTTATAGACCAGATCAATCTCGAAATAGAGAATCGCTTTAGTGAGTCAAATACAGAATTATTCACTTGTGAAGATTGCTTTGATCGTAAAAATGAATTTTCCATTTTTTGTGAGTCAAAGCTACTCAATCTTGCGGAGTTATATTCATGTTGATAAATTATTACATTCTAGAGAGAAGTGAGAGATAGAGAGAGAAAGTAAGTAATTAATATTTCTTACCCCTATAACTACCCCAAAGGGGAGTATTTATAGGAGTAAATGTGGTTTTGGGCTCATAGCCATGGGTTTAGGAGGCCCATTACAATAATAGGGCCCTTTTGGGCATAATAAGGCCATTGAAGGGCTGAGTACATGATTTATTTGGATAAGTATAAAAACTATTCTGCTAGTGCACTTTAGGGCCAACGAGGAACCTGGTCGATGTGATGTCCCTGCGCGATGCGATCCCCAGCCGATGCGATGCCCCTGGCCGATGGAGGACACACTTTGTCTCCAGGCCGTAATCTGAATAATTTTGGTCCTGGCTGATGAGGCACCTTGTTGAGCGATGGGGGGCCCACCTGACCGAAGGGACGCCACGTGGGTGTCTATCTTTAGTTGTTTGATCATTTGAGTATGTGGGTCATGAGGTCTAAGCCCATATATTCTATCACATGTGATTTTTCCGCTCTTGTGCAAATGGACCTTAAAGAACAACTCCAAGTTTTAGATATATGAGATCGGAGGAAATGAAACATTTTCCAACCTTATAAAGTATTGGTGAAGTGTCTAAAAAGATGGTTGAGCTTACAATTCAAAAATCTTTTCATTTGGTATATCATCTTATTGAGTTTGTTCTAGTGTAACCAGCTACAACAACCACAGTTGAAAGAGTCTTCTCAGCAATGAATATTATCAAGACAGATCTCGATAATAAGATGAGAGATGACTATCTTACAGATTGCTTATTATGCTACATAAAAAGAGACATTTTTCAAGCAATCGATAATGAAGCTATTATGCAACATTTTCAAAATATGAAAACTCGTAGGATTGATTTGCATAAATGAATCAAATAGTATGTAATGAGCTATAATTTTGTGCCAATTTATTAAGCTATTGTTGTTCTTGTTATATTTTCAACACACGCTTTACAATTTTTATATTAGACTTCGGTACGCCCCTCCTTGGATAAACCTCTGGCTCCGCCACTGTCTGTCTCCCTAATATTTCTATTTTGGGATGCAAAGTAATAGTGTGGTTTTTCAGAAAAATAGAATTATGTGATTGATAATGAATTGATAAAATGGTAATAAAGTAAGAATTATTCAAGTCACAAAAGTATTACTAAATATGGTATTAGACAATAATAACGGGGCATCAAAAAATGAAAAAACGAGACAATTATAGGGGAACGAATGGAGTACTAATTATTAAGCACTTTTAGTTTCAGCCGTGCGGATGAGCTGTATCTGGAGTTCCCTCATTAATTGAGAAGATCATAAGAGTTATAGAATATTAAGGAAATGTCTACTATACAATTCTCTGGATGTGTGTATAGAAGTAATGAATGTTCTAGAAAAGTTTAGAGTTTTCAAGTTTGACTTGGAATTGTCTAGAAACCTGTGGAAGAGTATAAAATTCTCCAGACAACGGGGAATTCTCCAGAGAAGTGTATAATTCTATAGAATCGTGTGTAAGTGTGTAGAAGCCTCTGATGCTCATAAACTTAATTATGTGAGAGAGGTAGAGTCTAGTAGCTTCATATACAAAAAGTGAAGTGAGCTACTTGTTTCTTTGTAAAACTCTCATGGACATTATAATTGTTTAATACAAAGTGAAATTGTCTGATCGAATATTTGTATTACTAGTGTGTGTGTGTGGGTGTATAAGAGACCATGAAGACATTAAACGTTTGAATATGAAATTATTTTCTAATACATATAATTGTATATGCATTTATGATGTATTAAAAAATTACAAGGACTAAAATTATGAATTACATTTTAAATTAATTGTTAAGACTTTTATAAACTAAACACCAATTTATTTTATAAACCTAAACATTACAAAAATGAGCTGGGGTGGGCTCCCCTATAATGATCCGCCCCGATTACTTTTTTTAAATTCTTTACTCATTCATTCAAATAAATAGAAATGATTAAAAGATTTACATAAAGAATAATGTTTTTAGTTTTTTCTTATGTGAAAAGAAGGTAAACTTAATTCACGTTGCAAGCCGCAATACGCATAACATCGACTCCATAAGCCGCAACTTCAACAACGGGCATAACCATAATTTAAAATCACGGATCCGTCTATAGTGGAGAGGTGCAGTCTTTTCTCCTAACCCCATGCCTTCTCCCTCTTTTAACACCTATAGATCCCATTTTATCCATAGCCATAGCAAACTTGTCGAAGAATTTCTTCTTATCTTTGGCTAGCATTTGAACCAAAGGCCTACTTCTCGGGTCTAAATACAAGGCCTGATCGGAAGCCAATATCCCCATTTTGGCCTCCAAATTTCCATAGTAAGCATTGTCAAAGGAGAAAGGAGTTGTGACATCAAAAGGGGCAAGAACATCGATGTTCCCGCCAAATTTGGGGCACGACATCTTTAGAGCTTTGAGAAGCCTAGGATCCATTACTATTGAAGGGTCTGTTTGGTTGGTTTCCTTCTTGTAATTATATAGTCTACTCAAAAATTGCTTGCAGTGCGCAAAACCGATGGAGTGAGCCCCAGAGAGGACAACAAGGTCCTCCATTGTTAGTCCTTTGGAAGCAAAGAGTTTCAAAAGCTCATCAAGTGTAAAATTGGCCCGAGGGAGATTTTGTTGCACCCTTGAAGCCATTGATATGTTTCCGTCCCATCTTCCTTTCTTCACTTCATAGTATGGCCCTCCTGTCTGCGTGTTTAAAGAAATAAGTAAATAAATAAAGTGTAACATATATCACATTTGATGGATCTTAGGATGTTTTTACTTGGACTGAAATTTGCTGGTCTTGTCTGGTCTGATCTATTTAAGTATGGTCTAGTTTGGTCTGGTCTGGTATGGTCTGGCCTGGTCTGAACTAGTTTGGTCTGGTCTGATAAACGTCCAGTCTCTGTATATTTTATAACTATGGAAGCCTGGTCTGGGACTGAAAACAACACAAGTAAAACATCCTTAGTTAACTTATGCATTAGGTCACATTTTATTGAGGAATGACTTATATTAATTTATCAGAATCAAAAGAGATTACATGTAAGTTTTGTGATGCTCTAAAAGGTGTGTTTTTGTCCTTACACAAGGTTTTATTGATTGTTGTGCCGCAGAGTCAACTAAGCGTGTCCTAGGGCTAGGAGCATCGAGTTCTCTTTCACGACTGCTCTCGGTGGAAGTGACTCTTCGATTGAGTATTCGAGAGGGGATACGTTAAAGATATAACAAGTTCTTTTTATCTTTGAATTAAATCACATATAAGTCGTTCAACTTGTTGTTTAAATTAATTAAATTCCAACAATCCCAAAACCCTTCCTTTTTATTACTAGCAAGTTTCGTAAAAGAAAAGTATTCCTTTCCCTGCGGATATGAATCTTACTATGCTATATCACGGTATTAGTGCGAGTATTGTATTTTATTTTGAGACACACAACGACTTTAATGCCGTCAGTGGTCCAGATTTGAGGATGGATTATAAACGGTGAGAATGCCACTTACAACAAATATGTCAATTCGGGAATGACATTTACAATCTCATAAACACGAATTTGATATTTCAATATGGTGACTCATAGAGGGACCAAAAGTACGACCTTCCAAACAAAATTTCTTGACCCATATACGTATTATAAGAGTGGTGGTATGATTTGGTATCTAGGCCCTTATATGGTAACAAATAAGGATGTTTTTATTTGAGTTGAAATTTTCCGATCTAGCCATCTAGGTGTATTTAATGGTCTGATACGCATATGTTCTTTGTGTGGTATACGACTATCAAAGTATAATCTGGTCTGCGATTAAAAGTTTAAAACTAGTCTAAGAAAAAAACATGCTAAATGCATATATGCTAGAAGTTGGCATGTTAGGTACTTCAAAATCTGAGGCAAAGCACAACAAGATGAAAAGTAAAACTGCCCGATTAGGATGGAATTTGCACCCACATCCGTTGGAATAACATATTTTTACAAACTCAAAAATTTGGATGAGAAGTTGAGAACCCAAAACACTTAAGGTTGAAAACGGCAATGGATGGATACCATAATGGGCCAAATAAAATGCCTGTGGATATGTATACCATTTATAACCCCATCCATTACCCGTTTTATCATCTGTGTAAACGAATCAAATAATTTGTGTTCGATTCGCGATTCGAATTTGTATAAGACAATTCGAATTCGGAAAATTCAAATTCAAATACAAATATGAATATTAAATTTGATTCGATTTGTTATGAAATACAAATAAGAATATCAGTGTATTCGATTCGAATATTAATCAAATATATTCGATTAATAATAGTGATAATATTAATAATAATTATATTAATAATAATAGTAATAGCACTATAATAACTTTTAAAAGATAGCAATACCCTAAAGTGTAGTTCATATATACATTTACGCATACAGATTCTAAGTCCATTTGTAATAAATCAGAGTATAAATACGAATACAAATCGGATTTTTGGTTCAAATGTCTTTCAAAAACAATACAAATAATTATGTATTCGATTCGCATAATAAAATTAGAGTCGTCTGACTTTGATATATACAATTATCAACTTATTTCACACATTATAAGTGTAATTTCTAATATGTTAGTGTTTATTTCTAAAAGTTTGAAATAGATTTATATTTATTAATCATAAAATTGATTCACTTTAGTATATCGTGCACAATCTAAAAATGCATTGATCCATTGAATTTAAATTCTAAAAACACATATTAAATCATAGCGTACATTTACAACATAAAAAATATAAGAAAATTTATTTTTAAGTGACATTTGACTAATATTTAACCTATGCTCAAATCTATTCGATATTCGTATAAGATTCGTTAACTATTTGTATTGTTAAACAAATACAAATACAAATCAAAATTAATATTCGTTTCATATTTGAATTCGAATTTGTATTCGAAAAAATTAAACAAATACAAATACAAAATCCTACTATTCGACTTGATTCGGTTCGTATACAACCCTTACTCCACACACCCGCTATTACTTGAGGATTATAATTTTTGTAAAGCTAACATATTTGTATAGCTCAATAGAGTATTTTTTTCTTCTAAATTTCTAATTATCTAAAAATAAATGGGCGTAATTATTTTCCTTTTCATTATTTTCATATTTCATGTTTTTCAATTTTTATTTAATGGAGAAAGTTATGAACATGTGGTGGATGAAAATATAACCATGATATTTAGAGCCCATTTGGTAACATTGAAATCGGTTGAATAGCTGATTTAATTTTGCTGAAATTTATGAAGTTGTGGCTGAAGTGACTATTTTGGTTGATTCTGCTGATTTATGAAAAAATATTTAAAATATACTCTCTCCGTTCCGAAAAGGTTGGCCAAATTTCCTTTTTTGGATGTCCCAAAAAGATTGGTCATTTCCATTTATAGTAAGGAACATGTGGTTAAAATTAATTCTCTCTCCTCTTCACAAGTTTCAATCACACAGTTTTTACTTTATTAATCCACGTGAAAGTCAACTTTGGCCAACCTTTTCGGGATGGAGGGAGTATTTTATTTATAAGATAAAGAAAAAATTGTATGAAAAATAGCTAAAATAGTCATCTATAGTAACTTCAGTCAATACACCCAGAAAAGTAACTCTAACTTTACTTTTCTTAATATTACACTTTTCAGCGCATGGAATCAAAAATTACGTGTTTGATTAAAAAGTTAACTAATAAGTATGATAAGACCAAAAACAAGTCATAAAATGGGCACTTAAGGTATTGTGGTGTTCATTTGGTCAATGCGATTTTTTATTTTCACTTAAGATTTGGAACTGACTTGATGTAATATACGTAGTACTTCGTATATTACTAGTCATATTAAATTACGAGTACTACGCACTCATAGTATTTATGTGTTCTACTGTTGTTTTTAAATATTACTCCGTAAGTTTTTAGTTTTTTATAAAATAATTTTGATGAAAATTGCATGTATTATTTTAAGGTGTTATGCACTCTATCCATCATAATAAAGCACTATGATGGATTGATTGTAGGTGGATGAAATGTTTAATGAATGACGGATGATTCAAATGATGAATAAATCACGATAAATACATCATTTGTATACATTTTGGTATCCATTTACACGCGACATTGATTTAATGGATATTGAACATATAAATTTTCAAACCTAAGACAGAAATGTTGCACTGGTGAAATAATTAGTCAAATTAAATGCATAAAACTTGTACCCTCAATTAGGTGCAACATTTGTAATGTGTTAGAATCGCATACAACTTATTGACTTAATGTCAATATCATTTCTTGCCCACATGTGATCCTTTGGACCCGAAGAGGTGCCGAAAATATGATCAAAAGAAACCATGGGTCATAATTGAGTTGGGCTAGATTATTGTGTAATCATACTATTTTTTTTTTAAACCAACATCAACATGTGCTAAATGGGAAAAATGAAAAACTTACACTAAGAAATAGTTATCCTTGACATCATGCCACCATAGTCATAGTGTAGATCTATTTGTGGCGGAAAGGGACACAAATAAGCAATAAACAATAGTAATGTATTGAAAGTGAGTAAAATTGAGTGAATGTTTGGAAATGTTTTTGCTTATGCTTCTTTTTTTGTTAATAAAATCAGATTCAGAATCAATATTTCAGAAATTTATTTTCTCTAACTTCCTAAAAATTGTTTTTAAGAGTAATTGAGGGCATTTAAAAGTACTTCCGCATTTTAAATACTTCAATATTTACTTCAACATTTTAAAAGGTTTGATAAAACATCCTACAACTAAAATTAATTAATTCTATTAATTGCTTTAAGTTTTGCTAAACACTTAAACACAATCCATATGGGCGACTACATGACTAGTTGCCAAAGTAGACGTCCCGTCTACTTTGTGGCGGGCGCTTACATCTCAGGTGTCCCAAGTTTAGTTTTTTATGGGGACAAATTATTTAAATAAATTCACGTGACTTTTAGTCTTTTATACCATTGTCGCTCAATAGTGATTAAACACCTTTTAATTATACTATTACTACTGTACGAACTAGCCGTAAGTCCGTAAATACTAGCAAAGGGGTGTGTAGTGCATTTTTGCACATTGGTAAAAATTTTAACTTATTTTTTAAAAAAAAAGTCACCACGTTCTACTAAAAAAATGATCATTTTACTAATGTTAAAGTGCATCAACTCTTCATACAAGTATATGGGAAAGGGGCTGGGCGAGTCTTCGGCAAACAATGCTGAAACTCAGTTCATGGTGTTTTGAGATCTCCCAAAATCTCGTATGTTGTGAGAGAGTAAATCTGCAACAAGTAGATCTAATTTGGAAAGAGAGAGATTATGAAGAAACTATAATTAAAATTACTTTATACAGTACTTTATAGATATGATGTATTCAAATAGTTAAAATTGTGCTATTTTTCAATTAAACTAAAGTTGTCATTTAATTAGTCACCATACCACAATTCCCAATTGGGTTTGAAAATTGAGTTTTTGAAGAGTTTTAAAAAGGTTACAAAAGGACCCTAAGAATGTTTTCTTTTGGATTGAAATTTGTTGGTCTGGTCTGATATGGTCTGATCTAGTCTGAACTATTCTAGTAATGTCTGATTTTTATGTACTCCGTATTTTATAAGTATGAAAGTCTGATCTGATCTGATCTGGTATGGCCTGATATGATTTGATCTGGGACTGAAAACAGTTCAACCGAAAACATCCTAAAACTATCTCCTCCTTGTTTAGTTGTTTTACACTCCCAAACAAAAAACAGGTCAAAAATGCTCTTCACACTAAAGGATCGACTGATAACTTCAAGTTTTGTTGAATTCAAAACTTACAAATGAATACTTACAAAGTGAACAAAATCTCTGGCGGCAATGGCAAGGATATCAGCACAAGAAACAGCAGAAGGGCACTTGCTTTCCACCACTGCTTTCGCCTCCCTTATGCTCTCAAACGCTTCTGTTGCAAGATCCCTGTTTTCCTCTGCATCTCTCTCCGCTAATTCCTTACTCCCTGCCCTTGTTGATATCAATATTGATGCGTCACACCCCTTTGCACAGCAAGAAACAAATGTATATGTTAAGAAGGCCGGGATTTGAAAATTTTACATCCTAAAGTCACAAGTTTCATACTACCTCCGTCCTCAAAGTTTGTACAACGATTTTAATTATTATATTTGTATATAATTTATTACGTATAAATATTATACTTTGATAATATTTTGAAAAAGAACATTTGGATATAACTTTCACATTCAAAATAACTTCATATAAAAAGGCAATTTGTTGAACCTTTTCGTGTCAAAGAGAGTATGTCACATAATTTTTTTGCCTTTTGATACTCCTTCGGTCCCAATAAATACTTCTCAGTTTGACTCGACACGCTTATTAAGAAAGTGAAAATAAATGAAAATGTATGGTTGTAGTTGAGTAAGAAAAAAGTAAATAAATGTTAACCACAAAAAACTTGGTCGGGAATTCCAAAATACGACTACTATGTTTTTCTTCCCCAAATAAGATTTGTTGTTGTCGTGTATGAAAAATACTGTCATGATTGAAAAATACTGCCATTAATTTTAGTAAATACTGTCACGTTAAATGCACTGTACTACAATATATTATTTGACAGTCATGCCTATACGATAGCAATAAATACTGCCATGTTAGTCCTATTTCGAGAATAAAAACTAGTCATGTTTTGGAATTCCAAACTCCATTTACTCCTATTTTGAGAAATCTCCCGATTCAAATTATGGTAAGCGGGATGATTTGTTGGGACGGCTTGAAATGAAAAGCTGGAAGATTTTTTTTGGAATAATTACTTGAACAAAGCAGTCGTGGAAGAATAGTCGAATGGTGGCAGGTCCGGCGGCGGGAGAAGACTTAAACTTCTGGGAGGTGACGGAGGCGACGAGCTTATCAACCTGAGGGCATGACTTTGCATAGTAGTCAACAGAGAGTTGACGATGAGGCTGCCTTTTGCTGCTGGAATTTGACTTTGGGTTGGCCTGAGATACTGGTAAGTAGAGGAAGAGGGTGATGAAGAAGATAAGCAAAAAAGGTGAGGAAGAGATTGACATTGGTCAAAGAAAGTTAATTACGTTCTGTGGATGTTTGTGTTTGTGTGCCAAATGGGGATGGACTAGCTAGCAAGCTATAGAAGAGAAGCAGACATATTTCAGAGGAGAATCAACACCCGTGATGCCTTCAATTTTTTAATATATAAGGCTTGTACCTCCATTTGGAATAATCAGTTTTTTAATATGAAAAGATTTAAAAATAAATATTTGGTCAAATGAAAGTTTATGAAATTAAGAATTAATGAGTCATTTTTATAGATGAATGTATATTTTTTTTAACGGAGGAAACTTTTTTGAAAAACAAATAAAAGTACAAGGTCAAGGAGAAACAACAAAAATAAGATATGCCCAACCTAGAGTAAAAATAAGAGAACCCTCCCTAATTAAAACGAGCCCCAAACAACATATCAAAGCTCTATTCAAGATTGAGATCTAGTCTTGAATTGATATGGTGCGATAGTTGGTTCTTCTTTTTATACATCTTTTGCTGAGTGTTCAGATTTTTTGTAGGTAAACCGTTGTCCCGTGTGACTAATAAAGCTTTTTGGCAAATAGTCTCCTTTGCATCGGAATTCCAATGATCTTCCACGGTCGAAATAGGAACTCTCTTCTCAATCTTGAGATGTGATCAAGAAATTCATTCGGTGGAGTGACGATCTCCATAAAATCCATCGCAGTCAAAAGCTTCTAGAAGATGAATAAACATAGTATTATACGGAGTAGTAAGTTAGTAAACATGCGATGGTAATATTGATACTTCCCTTGCCAATGTGCATGCAATGCACAATTTATTCATTTTTGTTGAGTAATACAATTGTTGATTGATAAGAGAATTTTTTTACCGAGTACTCCGTATATCTTTGCCCTGTTTGTTAGAAATTTCCTGAACTGTTCCACCTTCCATCAGTGATGTATGGTGATTAGAAGAATGAGGACAAAAGGCCAACAGATATTAAAGTAACTTGGTGGAATTCCCATCTTTTCCCCTGATCACCATTATTCAAATCCTTATTCTAATCACATCAAACTTCTAAGAGTCAAACATTTTCAACTCTACTACGCCAAATACAATTTTATTAAATAAAACATGATCTCTCATTTAATTAAGCCTTTCTATCAATACTCTTGAAACTTTTAGTTCCGACTCCTCCATCTGTCAGTCGGTGTGTGGGGCGCCTAGGATAGGCAACTCCGATCCACTTTCTTACATGGAGGAATTTTTAGAGCTGTTTGATGATTCTGTTTTCGGATTATAAAACATATCAATTTATTTTTTCGTGCTGAATTGTGTAATATAGAATAATAAAAAAGGAAAAATTCACAAGAATAATCTGTATTGTTACTGATTCTACAATAATAACCCCTACTCAGAGTGTCCACAAAAATAATCTGAACTGGCAATAGTGTTCATAAGAAAATTGAGTGAATTCAAATTATTGCCCGTTTAATACTTCCAACACTTACTCCTACTTCTCTCTTCCCCGAGACGAAGAGTGATGAATGGGAAAATGGGAATAGGGGTTGGGAATATTAAATGAGTATTAGTTTGAATTAATTTTAATTTATTCTTATGGACATTATTGCTAGTACGGAGTGTATTTATAGACACTCTAAGTATGATTTATTATTGTAGAATCCATGAAAGTATGGATTATAAAAGTTGGAGTTACTTTTTTGCTGTATTAGCTGAAGTTACTGTAGAAAACTATCTTTAGCTATTTTTCATATAATATTTTCTTTAGTTTATTAATAAAATATACAGTATTATTTCATTTCATCATCATTTTCATTTACCCCAGTGCCGCAAAAGCTCCCACCTACGGTGGGGTAAGGGGGGTCAGATGTACGCAGTCTTATCCCTGTACTAAAGCACAAAGAGACTGTTTTCGGATGACCCATAGTAATAAAAATACTATACTACATATTAATTTTTCCATAAATCGGCAAAATCAACCAATCCCGTCATTTCAGGCAAAATCAGCCTAACCAACCGATTTTCTAATTAGTGAATGGGCTCTTAGTGTTGATCCAACTGTTCGGTACTAGCAAAATTTAAATGCAGAGCATGTGCAATAAAGGGACCATACAATATATAGTTATTTCATGCCCTTTTAGGCCAAGCGTGTTAATGCCATTTACTGGCTTTGGATCACACTTTACATCCCCTCATCCAGGCGTGAATTCACCTTTTTGCAGTTTCTGCTGGTTGAAGTGGAGTAAGCTCTCTTGTTGTGACCAGACTAAAGGTGTGAACCATAACCGTTAGCTTTAATTTCAATATCTGTGGTGTGGTCGGGAACATATATGTGTAGAATAGGGGCAGTAAAAATGTTCATCTAATATTGTATTCATCTTTTGATTTTTGTTTTTGTTTCAAACATTATTGTGACGACACATCTGTTAGAAATCGTATCAAGATGTTTTGTCATATGTTCATTTGGTGTCGTTTCTTCCTTGGTAGTTTTTGCTTACATGAGATGCCGTTATGTTGTGTCGACGTATGTCACATGTACTCTCCCTACTCTTACTTAACACTACACCTTTGATCAACACTGTTTTTTCGACTTAACACCTATGTTGCACCGATACTTCACTTTGATGCCGTATCCGCGTATCCGATACGTATCCGTATCCGATACTCACCGATACACGTCCTGTACGTATTGGGTCTGTATCCGTAATTTAATAAAAGTATCGAGCTTAATTTTAAAAATACCGATACTTCCGATACCCGTATCCGTGAACCGATACGCGTATCTGAACCTATAACCCCTCATTTTATACACGACATGACGAAAATTTAGTAGCCAACCAAGCGACCACAACATGTGGAACATTGATAAAGATGTTTTCGGGAGTATGAAAAATAATGGAATACTATAATTTGACATTTCATTGCTTGATGATATTTAATTGAAACAAGACTTGGATGTAAATGCAAATAGAGGAAAAAAAAAATTTGAATTTAAATCAAAATATCAATACTTTAGTTTTTTAGACTAATCTTTGAAACTTTATTATAATAGTTATTTTTTTGTACTATTATTATTATTTTATTCATGAACCCCTGAATTATATATATTTGCAAATTATACCCTATATTTTTATTATTTATAAATATACCCCCGTACCCGTATCCTATAATTTTTGAAAGTGCCGTATCGCCGTACCCGTATCCACGTATCCGCGTATCGGCGTATCCGTATCCGTGCAACATAGCTTAACACTACACCTTTGATCAACTTTTTCGATTTAATAGGCTTATGGCCAACTTTTTCACCAAACACATAATTTTTGTTTTCGTGCGTTGAATTGTGTAATAAGCAGAAAATGTAAGGTTGAAGTTACTTTTCTGACTGTATTGGTTGAAGTTACTGTAGATGACCATTTTGGTTATTTTTACATATAATTTATTTATTTATTTTATTATTAAAATATTTTTAAAAAATTTTGTTTTCTTAAATCATCAGAATCAGCAATGCAGCTACTTCAACCAGAGCTTAATAAATTTTAACAAAGTTAGCCAAATCAACTGATTTTGGTGCTACCAAACGGACTCATAGTAATACTTCATTTGTTTTGTTTTTCAAGGGCTAAGAATTGTACTCTCAAAATAAAAAACACATCCGGATTCTTTACGCCAGTTTTCAGATGTAACTTGATTGGGCTAAGAATTGTACTCTCAAAATAAAAAACACATCCGGATTCTTTACGCCAGTTTTCAGATGTAACTTGATTGGTGTATGTATGAATGAATAAGTCTTAATTCATTATAGAACTTATATTATGTACTCTCTAATAAACTACTACCTCCCTCCCATATTGAATGTCTAGTTTGAAGCAATAATTAATAAAGTGAGAGAAAAGTAAAAGTCGTTAAAATTCAGCTAGAATAAATTGAAATGATATGGACCATCATATTTTTTGCCCCAAAAGAAATAAAATATTCACTTTGCGACAAGTCATAAAGGAAAGTAAGACAATCAAAATTAGACCTGTCAAACGAGTCAACCCGCCCCAACCCGACCCAACCCGTGACGGGTTATGCTTTATGTGGGTTGGGTCGGGCCAACCCGTTTAGTGACGGGCCAAAATTTCTACAACCCCAACCCGACCCACCTAACCCATGAGTTAAACGGGTTGGCCCGCGGGCCAATGTAAAAAAACATATGTTTTTTAAAAATAATTACCTTGGAGTATATATTTATATTAGTAAGCAGTAATGGAGGGAAATATAAGATATAAAAAATAATATAAGAGGGTAGGATAAAAGAAATATAAGAGGGTATATTAGTATATAACAAAAATACTCATTGTACAAAGTAAAGATCTATTTAAACCTTTTGATTGATTATTTGTGAATCATGACTAGTAATTGCTAAATATTGTATCAAACTTCACATATAATATGTGTTTCAACATTTTATTTGAATATTTATTATAGAAATAATAATTATTTGCAATTGTTGTAATTTTTTATTGTAAATTATACTATTTTTTTTTTATTAAAAAAATATTGAAGATAATAAAAGTCAAAACTATATGTTTGTATATTGGCCCGCGGGCCAACCTGCAACCCGTTGGGTCAACCCACTTAAACCCGCAACCGGTTGGGTCAACCCACTTAAACCCGCGAACTAAAAGGGTCAGAAATTCACAACCCTAATCCACCAATAAATGAGTTTAAACGGGTTAGCCTGCGGGTTTCGGCCCATGTTACAAAACTTTTTTTTTGCTCGAAGATGGCTTAATTCATAGAAATAGCATTCAGCAAGGGTACAAAAGCAGAAAAGAACCACATGTAACCATCCGCCCGTGGTCGAGACTGAGAGTTAACCACCTGTAAAAGAGTAGTATAACTCGCTAGACCAAAATTGGGCAACTTAAAGTCAATGACGGTTAGCGCAGACTTTCCATCCCTCATACCTAATGCAAGAGTCTTACAACATAAAATAAAATAACAACAAAACACAAACGTCTTAACTTGGAAATTAAAGTGCAGAAAAGGCAAATCATAAGCAAACTCCAAAACGTGTCGATCAACCCTTGGCGGTGGTTCTGGAGGAGGTCTGACCCTCGCAACAATTGTTGATGCACCAATCAG